TTGAATGGAAAGTTATGGGTAAAGAAATGTTCTTCTTTTCTTTCTCAGCCTGAGTCCTGGGGCATACAGAAACACCACAACTGCAGATTGTACCACAAAACTCTTTGAATTTGTTCGAATTGCAATATATCTGTTTAAATGAGTTTATTCTTCTTAGTGGTTCAACATAAAACTGATTTAAGATTGAATTTTCTTAATTGGTAAATCGTGCTGCTGCTGGCTTCACCTGCAGGCCACCGCAAAACCAATTACAATCTAGTGGGGAAACTCTAGTGTCGGTCTTCAGTCTTGAGCCATGGATGGGAGTCGCCAGAATTTGCCCGGGAAACCGCAAACTTTTCCACACTGTCCAACACTGAGCAGAGCGAGAGCTCCATTAGAAAGTTGAAACCACACATATCAATTACTCAAGTTTTCGCTTGTTGGCGTCTGGCGTCGGGCGTCGGGCGACGGGCGACGGGCGACGTGCGTCTCGTCGCCTTGGTATCGTCCTGTATCGTCCTGCAATTGCATGGGAAATTCCAGAGCCGCAGCAGCTCTGAAGACAAGCAACAACCGAAAGTTTTTGGCCATGATTCGAAATTTGCATTTCATTCCGGCCAGTGCTGGACAGTGCCGGGCAGTGCTGCGGCTGCGGCTGCGGCTCATAACTTGACGGTCCGCTCTGACAGGCATTTCCGCCTGCAGACCGACCGGAATCTATTTGTTCTTTTTTCGCTTTTCCCCTTAAAGTTTCTTCTCACTGTTTGTTTGACATTTTATTTGTTTAAGTAGAGAAAACAAATTCGCTTATTGTTATGCCATTCCCATTCCTATTCCCCTCCCCCTCACATTGCTCCTTGTACTATTTGTTTCTTCTACTTTTCCGACTTTAATGCGTAAATATTTTTACGCTTTTGGCATGGAAAGCAGCAGCAGCCAAAAGGCAAGGCAACAAGCGAACAAATTTCATAAAAAATTCACAACAGGCGAACGAAATAAGATAAAATAAAATAAAATAAAAAACCCCCACCCCCCTGCTGGGAGGTGGAGGTGGGCAAAAAGTTTTCCTCGTTTTTTTGCTCTCTCTCTCTCAATGTGTGTGTGTGTGTGTCTCCCAGTCGATATTAAATGAAGCTGTAAGAACTTTTGCCTTTGTAGCTGTTTTTCTCCTGCTGTTTCGGGTCTGGGTTTTTCCAAAGTTCGCACTGAATTTATATCCCAGCGAGTAGTGTCGGGAAAATGGTAGTAAAATGGTTGAAAAACGCTGCTTGGATCCTCATGTGCGCGCGAGTTGGATACCCGTGGGGGGGGGCTTGACCCAGGAATATTTTTAGCCATCGGGCTTCAGCCCCAGGTGCAGGTTGCAGCTCGCTGGCTACGCACACAGGTATTTTTTCTGGTCTTTTTCTTGTTTTATGGCAGTTTGAAAGCATCTTGGATATTTTTGACATAAATCAAAGAAATACTTGCTAATAAATTGATTGTAAAGTGTTTTTTGTACACGCCTCTCTGGGGGAGTCTCTGATTTTACTGGCATGTATTTTTGATTACTCGCAGACTAGGCGGCCAGCCCCCTGCCCACTCGCCTCTCGCGTGGGCCAACCCTCGGCTCACTCGCTTGGCTCAATCCCAACCCTTTCTTATATAACAGACAGATAATTTATTTAATATTATAATCGCTTAAACTATGGTCCAATGTTGCTAAAATTTATTTAAAAATTATTTAATTATTACTTACACATTTTTTTTATTTTTCATGTTTGCCTTTTTTGAATCTTCATGGAATTTGAGGGCTTCATAAACCTTTTGCTTATTAATTTGTGTGACTACTGAGGTGTATTATTTGATTCCCTTATTTCAGAGGATGTGGAGACATCTTTCTAACAATTTACAAACTATTATTAAATTAAATCGGGTTTCGCCAAGGAGAGCCCTCATTAATTAGAGAATGATTTAAAATGTGCTGGATATCCGATGTTCGATGGGTAAACACTCCATTAAGACCAGACCCAGTTTCTTGTGCTGCCAGTACATTCGGGGACATTGACTTTAAGCCGAGAAAGGACCATTTGCACTTAAGAGAAGGATCCCAGCAGCGAAATGCATTTACAGCGTAATCCAATCTCCGCCATAATGAAATGCTAATGGCCAGGACACAGACACACAGGGATTTCCAATTGGAGTTGCACTCAGAGGAGGCCGGAAGCAGCCGAGTAGGGCATACAGGGCACTCCGGTTGACACCCCCCGAAAATGCAACAGACCCTGGAGGAAGTCGCCTCTGGCTCTGCATCTGGCTCTGCATCTGGCTCTGGCTCTGCCTCTGCCTCTGGCCGTGTCTTGGGTCACGTTTTGTATTTCACGCTTCGTTCTTTGTGGCTCCGAATGTGTGTATGTCTGCTGCTGCTGCTGCTGCTGCAGGATTTTTAATAACCCACGTTCCAGATTGCATTCAAGCCATACTTGTGCTCAATCGTTTTGACCAGCAATCGGGTGTTGTTAACGGCTGATGACAACGATGTTGGCCTGAATGGACCTACAGCATTGTCTTGGAGATGGCTTTTTCGGGACCTGACACTGACATCTTCGAACGAGCCGAAAGATTGTTTCAGTTTATCTTTTCTCGACTGGTAGCAGGAGAAAATCGATTCATTTCACTCATATATGAGTTCTGGTCCGACCGCAAATTTGATTTTTCAATGACCACACACACACCCACACACAGCTCTCTGACCACAGAGAAAGGTGTGTGACAGGTCAGGCCACACCGACATCCTCCCAGGCCTGTGGACAGGCCACTCAAATTCCACAAACTAATCAACTAATAAGGCTCGAAGCTTCGGCCGAGAAGGCCATCGGCACAACTCTAACCATAAATCAGATTCAAGCTGCATACATAAATCCTTGTGGGAGAAGGAAACCCCCAGCGGAGGCTATCAAAAGCCAGAAGTGCCAGGGCAGCATTCAAAAGTCAAAAGTAATAATGATACTGATGCTGAAGCTGAAGCTGTGGCCAAGGGAAGAAAGCACGGGAAAAATCTCACAAATTTGCACTCGAAAAAGTTGCCAAGCTCCTCTCCGGCTTACGCAAATTCCCCGTTCAGGGCATACAGCTATACAAGGGGCCAACGAGCAGCTCTCTGCAGCTTTGAGTTTTTGCCATTTGTTTTTATTTTATTTTATTTTATTTTATTTTTGTTCCTTTCACCCATATTTGAGTTAAAATTTTCACTTTTCACCTTCCGGCGTGCCGTTCAGCCGCTGCCGTCGCCTGCAGGTAAAAGTATTTCGCCCAGCTCTTTATTCTGGGGCGCTGAAACGCATAAATCAATGGGGGAAAAATCAAGTAAGCAAGCCACCAGGTAAGCAACAGACCGGGCTGGGACGGGACGGAGGAGGAGGAGGAGGAGGGGGAAGATGGCAGCAAGCCAAGTTCCTAAACTTGATTTAATGCCGGTGCAGTAGCGGCAAAGGCAAAGGCAAAGGCAACGGCAACGAGAATACAATATATTGGCAGGTTGTTCTCCAAAGTGTTGCTGGCTTAAAAGCTCTTAACCTGACTTGAATCGCATCGATATAAATCAGCAATCGGCAACAGAGAAATACTCGCAAAGAATTTGAGATTTGTTCCTTGACAAATTGATGCTGGCCGAAAGCTGATGTCAATCTTTAAAATTTTAAATTGGGGGAATGGCATCTCAAGAGCGTACAGAATATATTTATGTAATAATACACTCATAAATATTTTATAAAATTCCATTTTATTAACGCACTTTCAAGCACATTTAAATACATAAATTAAATACGTTTAGCCTAAACTATAGCTCCGTCCCTGTCCGACGATGTTGGGTAAACTAATTGAATTAATTTATATGCACTTTGCCAGGCCAGGCCGGAAACAGGAAGGGGGGCACCCTTCACCCACTCACATCAGCATTCAACCAACTAGCAGTTGAATAATTTATTAAGTGTTGAATTTCCTTCTGGCAAACTTGTCCGAGAGAAACATACCCGTACGAGCGCTGATTTATCGAAGGCAATTCATTTTTTTTTTTTTTTTTTTTTTTTTGTATATATTTCCTTAACTTTCTCTTAAGTTTTCAATTAAAACTTTAGCGAAATCCAAAAAAAAGGGTCCCCAGTATCTATATAGTTCCATATTGACTAGGACTATGAGTGGGTCTGGCTTGGCTTGGGCTCTTAAAAAGTTTTTCATTTCTTATTTTATGAGAGACATAAAAAAAACCAAAAAAAAATTAGAGAGAGAGAGTCTTGGTTGACTCTTTGGATGACTTTGCCGTTGCTAAGCTTCTTATTCCATGCAAATCCGTCTTATACTTTTTTAATTGCATAAACCATTTTCCATAATTACCCAAAACGGCTAATTGGGAAATGGAGGCGATAAAATGCCCCAATGGGTTGGAGCGCCTAAATCTGTAACTGAAAGTAATCTTTAAAATAAATAATATGATTTACATTCTAATATATGTCCTATATCTATCTATCTAACGACAAAGTATGAGAAATATTTTATTTCCTTATAAAAAAAAAAAAAAAAATTTTATAAATATATATTTTTAGCAAATATTTTTATGAAACTAATTCAAGAAGATACAAGTTTACATTTGGAATACTTTTTTCACTGCAAGTTTACGTATTGTTTTATATTTTTATATTATAGTAGTTCCATGATAATATCATAGGGTGTTTAAATATACCTACATTTCATTTTAATCTAAGTAATTATTAAATCTGGGAAGAGAAAAATGTGAGATTAAATTGATTAGATGTTCTCGTATGTATGTTCTCCCTCTCTCTCTCTCTCTCTTTCACCCATTAAAATATTTCAGTTCCATTTTCTTGCCATTAATCGTTGTCGCTAAGATTCGCTCTTAAAAAAATCTGTATAGATTAGTTATAGATTGTAGTTCGTTATTAATACTGCCAAAGTCTCTACTCGAAATACGTATTCGATCGAGGACAAGATTCACAAGATTTTTATGTATAAAACACCACAAAAAAAAAAACATGCCTTTCCTTACGTCCATCCGATGATGGATTCGTCAGATATATCTTAAAATTAGTTACAAATCCGTTTGCTGCATCGCACCGGAACCCCGCCTGGCCATGGTGCAGAAGGCCTCCCCCTGCTGCTCCCCCAGGCAGATGATCAGATTCTCCGGGTCCCTGGGGTGTGCTTTGGGAGCTGTGGCTAATTTGCCATTGGAGCTGCTGGATTTCCCCTGGGCCCCTGTCGATGCGGTCTTCTCCGCCGTCGTTGTGGAGGAGGTGGCCGTCGAGGAATTATTGTTGCCAGCATTGTTGGGCTGCAGCTGCGGCACCTGGGCATTGGCGGTGAGGAGCCGCTTGGAGCCACCACGACGACGACTGCCCTGCTTGGTGAACACGCTCGGCTCCAGGTGCAGCTGGGCATTGATGTCCTGCTGGGTCATGCAGGTGAAGGCCTTGAAGAAGCTCTTGCGGAAGTTCTCGCTCAGAAAGGCGTACAGAATGGGGTTGACGGCCGAATTCGAGTAGACGAGGGCGCCCAGCAGCAGGAAGATGAGTATCTCCAGGCGCGACAGGTCGCGCTGAGCCGGGTTCGAGTTGATCAACGCCAGCTGGGATATCCAGTGCGGCAGCCAGCAGCAGATGTACACCGTAATGACGGTCAGCACCAGTCGTGTGACCTTGCGATGGGCCCGCCGCTTCTCCTTGGACTTGGTCGCCTGCTTGGGCCCCACGGACTTCAGTTTCCGTATGACCAGATAGTAGAAGCTGAGAATGAAGCAGAGCGGCGTGGCGAAGCCCAGGAAAAAGGTGTACAGAATGAATGTTGTGCCCGAATGTTTCTTATACGCATCCGGCCACATAATGTTGCACGAGTAGTTGATGCCATCCTCCTGCTCGACGGTGCTCGCGTAAAGGATCACCGGAAGCATCAGTACGGCGGACGTGGACCAGGCCACGGCCGACACGATCTTGGCTATGTGCAGGGTGCGATATCGGGGCGAGGATATCGGATGACAGACGGCTATATACCTGTCCGCCGACATGATCAGCAGGAAGATCGACGAGGTGAACGATGTGATGGAGGTGCTCACCATATAAGCCTTGCACATGAACTCCCCGAAGCGCCAGCTGCAGATGCGCATCGTGTAGAGCAGAAAGGGTATGCCGATCAGGAAGCACTCATCCGCTATGGCCAGATTCAGGATGTAGATGTTGGTCACCGTCTGCATCTTGGAGAACCTCAGCACCACATAGATCACGAGCGTGTTCCCAAACAGGCCCACGATGCACACGATTCCGTACAGCACCACCGTGAACAGGTCCGCCAGCGAGTTCCTGGTGGCTATGCAATGCTCGTACGTGGGCAGGTCCGTGCTGTAGAGCGGTGGTTCCTCTGGCTGGATCGTAGAGCTCCTGCCGCTGTCCCACCGTTGGCTTAGTTCCGTGGTGAAGAGGCTCTCGTTCCAGGCCGTGGTGTTTGGATACGAATCGGTTGACGGCCCCTCTCCTCCCCCCCGGGCCGAATGCAGCAGCCTCATCATTATTAGCCAGGTCAACATGGTCTGGCCGGTCTCTGTCTCCTTTGTGTTTTTTGTGCGCTCTAAATCTAATTATATTGTTCGGGGGATGTCCATCATTCGGTTTACCTGTAAAACAAATTTCATTATCCCATTAAATACATATTTTATGCGTGCGTGCGTGCGTGCGTGCGTGCTTTGGGTGTTTGTGTATAATTATGCAAAATATGAACATTTTTTCTGGCTCGATTGGCTACTAATTAAAATAGTTTTAATCTATATAGGATTTATAGAAACTAGATGAAAGCTGATTTCCCCGGATGTCTATCCATCCATCTTAATTATCCCCCAATTACTGCATCAATGCTTTCCCTTTCTGTTTCTGTGAACAAACATCTTCAACTGGCACTTGTTAACAAATTATTGAATCCCAAGTTAAAAGTTAACACTGACAAATTACACGTACAATAAGAAAACAAATCACAACCCCGCCCAGACCAGACACTTGGAGGAGAACTTTTTGGGGGCAAAAGTTTTGCGCCGACTTTTCTGAAAAATTACCCCAAAATCTTCAACTTTCAACGTTTTTTATTATTTTTTTCTGACAAGTTGTAGAACAAGGAGTTCTGAAGGTAGACAAATATATATGTATGTACATAAATCATATGTTTTTGGCCAATTTATTTAAACGGAAGAGCGGCCAATTCCATGTGCAAATGGAAAAGTTCTTGATTTATGAAAACTCAGTTGATTTTCAGGGTGTGGCAGGTGGTAGGTGGTAGGTGGTAGGTGGGAGGATGGAGGTGATAAATTAACATTTAAATTGAATTCAAATTACACACAATTTGTCAACAACAAACAGGGCAGGTCGCCAAGCAAGAACTTTGTATTGTACAATAAATAAATAAAGCAAATGAAGTGGAATCCGGTGCTCAATTTACGCAAATATGTGTGTACATATCTGGCGAAAATTTATACATATTTGCTTCATCAAAATTCGGTTGCACCACGCAAGGAGGCAAGAAGGGAAGGAAGGAGGGACTGTGCATGCATAAGGCCGTTTTGAAAGGCCAGAGGAAGAGTTAATCCTCTTAGTCTATGCCTATGACTATGTCTATGACTAAGTCTGAGGCGCTTCCCCGATGCATGTTGGATTACAACTTCTATCCAAATTTGTTAGCCATAGATCATAATTTTAATTGGGGGATAAGTCGGGGATGTAGTAAAATGCTAACAATTATTCTTTAGACCTTAAAGACCCCTGTGGTTAGTCTATGAAATGCATTCAGTTTATTTGTCTATCGAGGGGAATATTGTTGGTGCTTTATTGTACTTTAACTTGCTTAAATATTCAACAGTCCTTCTACATTTGAATTTCATTCGAATGGAACTTGCATGCCACAAATCTCTCAGGTTCCTTTAGCTGAACGCTACCTTTAATACCAAGCTGATTGCCTGGCTAGCCCATTGAATCCCATAGATTGCCTCCACATTTGAGCTGCAACGAGCAAAGCAATCAAGCTGGGATCAAGGCAGGCATGGCATGGCATGGCATGGCAGCCATGTTCTGCGTATTGGATTACAGCGGTGCAATCAATTAGAGCTGTATTTGACGTTGTTATGTGTGTAATTAACATGTAATCAGGTGCGAGAAGTAGGGCAGGGCAGGGCAGGGAAGGGCAGGGATATGCAATGATATTGGCAGTTGAACTACTGAAGGGTTTTGTTGGGGATGAAATCCCATTTAAGCTGCAATTTCAGTTGCAGGTTATTTCGTATTTCAATTTGTGGTTTTTATACAAAAATTTAACATAATGAATGAACATAATTCAAAATGAATCCGTATCTTTTTGGATCACATTGCTTCGGGTAGATCTTAAACCACTTCCCTTAACGCCTAAGCCTTCACTGAATCCGATCCAAATTGTTTGTTGAGATTGAATTTGATAGTTTTCTATGTGGAAATCAGTCAAAGATGGTGCTTTCTATCGGCAAATATTGTAGAGCCCAACTTTATTCCCTTTTTCGCATTCCAATTCCTTTTGTATTCCTTATTGGCTTGAATTGAATTGTGTGTGTGTGCGGTAGTCACTATTCCATCAGTAGCCACAATCCGTATCCATCGCCCCCCACCCGTGTGCTGTCGTTTGTTTGCTTGGAGACTTAACTTGCAACCCGTCGACAGGTGTAAAACGCATCGATTCCCCCCCCACCTATCTTTGACTCTGCACAATTGTTGTTCGACATTTATTTTTCCTTTCGGCTCTCGGGGCTGCTGCGTTTATTGTTGTTGCAAGTGTAACTGTTATCGGCAAACCGCAATGGAGGCACAAATCGGCAGCCAGGCAGCTGATTGCCTCGAAGGGGGCAAAGACAGCACGCGGCGCGCTTCTATTGTCTGCAGTTCCTCCACTGACGACGACAGGCAACAGACGGCGGAGACTATTGCCAAGAAAGCTACTGACGAAGCTCCCTTCTGCAGGGGGAAGGAGATAGATGGAGACAGGAGGAGAAGCAGGGGCAGCTGTCGTCTCATCTCTGACAAGGGACCGAGCAGCAACACCATAGGAAGGTGCCGGAGCCATCATCATCTGCTCATCGCACCCTTGACCACATTTTTTTTTCTTCTTCCTCTGTTTCTCTCTCTCTCCCTGCTCATTCGCTCAGTTTGCACGTATGTTCGTGTCTTTGTGTGTGTTCTGTTCTGCAGCATTTATTAAAAATTTATGCATTTTATGAGACCCTCAAGAGTGGCTCCTCAAATGCATTTCCCTCACAGCTTTTGTTGATGTCTCTGCTCCATTGAACCTCTTCATCCTACTCTCTCTCCCCGACGCCCCGACGCCCCGTCTCCCCGTCTGTCCCTCTCCCCTTTGCTCTCTGGCTCTTGATGATGTGACGAAAGGCTATAAAAATCAGAATTTTCAGCTTAGAGGGAGCTTATTTGGTCTCTGGGTTCGACCATAAAGCTTAGGAGTTCTATAAAAATGAAGAGTATCCGAAGGCAAAAAGGACAAAGGACACATGCCAGTCAATACAGAGTTGCATATAATGTTTTTCGGGGATTTTCATAATGTTTTTGGAAGCTTTAATAAAGCGAACGTTTTTGGTGTGGAGTGGGGACAAAAAGGTATGAAAAAAAGGTATAACGAATATAGATTGCCAAAGTTTTGGCTCACTTGAAATATATGAAATTTTAATGTTTCATTAATTACTGAGTTCGGAGGAGCTGAGAGTGCATCTACAAATATTTATATTTACCAAATAATTATATTTGATATTAAAATTCAGAATATTCTAACTAAAAAGTTGGTTAGTTTGTCGACTTGAACCAAAGCTTCGGGTTTCATCAGAGCACTGCTTGATCACTGGCCAGTGAAGAAGAAAACAAACCAAACCTTCAGGTTTCCGCGTCGTACTGCTTGAACGAAACCTTCAGGTTTCAGCGGCGTACTGCTTGCACGAAACCTTCAGGTTTAGTCGATGAACTGCTTGCAGCAGCACTTGAACACGAAATGAAGCCAAACCTTCAGGTTTCAACGTTGTAATGTTTTTTTTCTCAAATCTTTTTCTCATCTTAATATCTCCTCATTAATTCTCTTCAACAAAATAAAGATAATTAATTTTGAAAGCAAATTCTACAGAACGGCCTGTTTGGCTTAGCCCAGTAATTTGATAACTTCGTCCATCTCTTGGCCAATTCTTGCCCGTTAAATTGAAAAATTTTGGATTATTCATAAGCCCCCAGAACTTTAAGCTTTGCTGATGTGCGCTTAATTAATTAAAACTTTATCAAAGGACCCTTGAATATGGCATGCATGTGTGTGTGGCTGCGTTATGTGGGGGTATATGTGGATTATGTTACCAAAAAATACAGCTAGGCGCACACAGGGAAGGACAAACAAGGCAACAAGGCAACAAGGCAAGGCAACGGCTTGGGACCAAAGGGCAATGGAGACCAGGGGACGATGCATTCCTGGAAATGCGAAGCGAAGAGTGGTAGGGCCTAACCTTGCATAAGTATACCTTGGCCCCTTGGCAAATGATTATCCGCTTGCTTTGGTTTTGGCAAGCAGCAGCACAGCTGTCGGAAGCCGAAGGCCGAAGCATTTGATGCCCTTTCGGGAAGCAGAAGGATATTGTCGCTGCTGCTGATGCAAACTGCTGCTCGAAGGAATCATTCTTCCCTTCGGAAGGGAGGGCATGAAAGTAAATCAGAGTGAGGGAGAGGCAGGCATATGCAAAGAGCATAATTTTATGGATAAACACATAGCACACAGCACACAACACACAACACCCGCCCACTGTACACACAGGGAGGAGGAGGCACACACATGTAAGCCTATGCTCCTATGTTTCTGCGTATTTGTGTGTGTGTGTGTGTGCCTTAGGAGCAGTGGCAGTGGCATGCAAATATGACTAGAAAATTTGCATGTATACACAACACAAACACACACACACACACCCAAACACAGAAACACAGAAACACAGAAACACAGAAATGTGTCGCCCAGCCTCGAGGCTAGAGTGCACTTGGGTTCGGGATACGGTACTCTTGTTTATAGAGCCCCTACCCGAGCATAAAGTGCAACATAAACAAAACTCAGTCACCTACACCACACCGCGCCCCCCGAGAGAGTGCTGCTACATCGGTCGTCTTCCTCCCTCCCACTCAACCCCCTTTGTGGATGTGGATGGTGTTTTTTGTTTGGTGGCAAACGCACTTAATCTTTGGGACACATTTTTGGGTATTTCGGCCACAGGTTGCCACTCACCGTGTGGCCTTACCCTTACCCTTATCCTTACACTTGCCCTGACTCCCTGACCTTTGATAAAAACACTCAAAACATGTGTTGCACAACACATAAAAACAACAACGACGACCACGACGACGACCTCTACAACAAGTGCAATTATAATCCCAAAGGGCTTTGTGCTTCAAGCCTTTTGTTTCATTTCAGAATTGAGTTTGGGAGTGTGGCAAAAAAAGTTGTGTCCATACATCGGCCTGATAAAAATGTTTGGGATTATCGTCCTTTGTGTGCATTTGCGTATAATCCTTTGAAGGGCTATTCTACCGATTTATGCATTTATTTCGCCCAATTAAGCATTCGAATTGGCAGGCAGAT